GATTGCCAGACTCAAGAATGTTCTACTGACAAAAATTATATTCTCGTTGTAGATTTGATTACAAAATTGTAACGTTTTTGACGAACTGTTTTCATAAACTGATGTCATTCGATTACAATCTCTTTACTACTGGAATGTAATATAATATTTAAAGCTAATAATGCATATACAGATAAGTGTTTTCTTGAATCTGGAAATCAGAATATTTTATGTAAGTTACTCAAGTTTTCATAGACGGCGAGTTCTAAAGTCAGTCACATAGCATTTCGTTGCTATTACATAATTATAAAAAAAAATATTAACAAAAATAGACAGTAGCTTTTTCTCTTGTTCTAACTTGATGAATGAATAATTTTAAAAATTGACTTAATACTTTGCCAATTTGTGCATAGCAATATCTTTTTAATTTAAACAAAGAAAAAAGAAACTGTATAATACAATTTGTACATAACATTTCTATTTTCTGATTACTAAAAAAGCTTCTGACTAAAAACCAAAGAATTTGAAAGGAAAAAAAGAGCAGGTTTATATGAATATTATTATTAGCTTTATCATGTGGATTTTCTTTGATTTTTATTTTAAAAACTTAACAAAAATTTTGGCAGTTTTATCGTTTTGTATATTATTCTCCAATAATAAATAATTTTCGAACAAAATAATTGGCGAAGTATTAAACCGTTTACATAATACAATATTTATGCCAATACATTAAAAATACCAGGACGGTATTTCTAACAAATGGAGCATCGCTTATTGTAATTTGTCAAAATGCGAATGCCATAAGTATATTAAATAATTAAGTTAAAAATAAAAAAGGAGAGAATCGTGGATGCATAGAAATGTCGATTGTCCAACTCGTCAAAATACATACGAGAACATGAATCCAGAACTTTTAATGTTCACATGCCGTGCAATGTACAATGAATTTTTCTCTCATCTTTATTTTCTCTCATTCCACTTATACACATATATCACTTCTAACGTAAAAGTATAGCATAAATGCGCGTCTAGGTTTTATAGACACAATATAAAAATTCATTATAAGAATCAGTATAAGATACACATCACTTTTACGAGTAAACGAAGTTTACATAGCGTTACAGTCACTCATGATAATCATAAAAGTCATTCCGTCCACTAATAAATCATACGCGTTAATTACATATAATTGCGATGATGACGTATCATACGCTCTTCGTTTCTTCAATCGTCAAATTAGAGTATTCGATTAGAATGAGACCATATTTAAGTACAAGCCTCGTTTCTTTCCAATTAATTTTGATTAATTGGAATCTGGGGCTTTGGAAATACACACAGTGTAAATTCTGTGGCATATATGCTTCTCATGTATGATTCACACAATCAGGAACGGGTCTGTAAAATGTGTTTTTGGCAAATAAAATAATGATATAGATGAATAATGTATTGTAGAGTGAAATTGTAATATTTAAAAATTTTCCAAGCAAACAACGTTACCTGCGATAAAATTTTATATCTACGATGTTTTCATTTAGAAAAATTCAACACCAACTCTCGCTTCCTCGTTCACCAATTCCGTCGCTTTCATCGTCACTTGGATCTTCTCCATACATATCTGCCAATTTTCTAAATCTTGGTCCAAAATTAGATAGATAATTAAACTTGAGATCTCCATCATCAGTGCCTGTCAATGAAAAAAAAAAAAAAAAACATAATGAGATTAAGTAAGAAAATAATATAAAAATATAAGCCCACTTTGAAATTTAAAAATACTAACAGGAAGCTAATGATGATAGATCGCCTTCTGAATTGCCTTCTCCCTCATAAGCATAATGCCTTACATCATCGAATGGATTTGTTTCAGGATCTTTATCGCAACTTTCTTTCTTACCATCTAGGAAACCACAAATATCTGGAACTTCATCGGTTCCTTTATAAAAAATTATTCTTTAGTTTTCATACAATTCATAATGTAAATAGCACTTTGATAATATCTCATTATCATACCTCTACCCTGTAGGCCAATTGGAGCTATTTTCGAATCAATAGGTGGTGCATCATAAATGGCTCTCAAGACATTTAAATCATAACCCGTGTCAACCTCACCGCCTCCTTCGTCCTCATAATTAATAATATTTTCTCGGATATCGTCCATATCTTTATACATATCATCTGTCTTTCTCCTATGCACAACTACCGCTACAAGCAATATTAACAATATCAATACACAAACTAAAATAGCTACTATAAAGTTTGTATCAATTCCAAACGAGATTGCCTTTGCCATGCCATGATCGCAGCCAGGATCTGCGTTTCTAGACAACGATGGCATACCCAAGTTGTATGTCTAAAACAAAAGGATGTAACTTAATGTCTCATCATAAGCTATGTGTGTGTGTTTTTATTATATCTCTTTATTTTATTTACATTTCCGTTGAGTGTCATATTGCGTATACAACCGACAAATCCTTTGTTAGTCGGTCTATAATCCCATCCTAAATTTGATGCTAAATGCGCTAAATTAGTTAATGTACCGCCTACTTGCATCGGACTGTTAACATTTAAAAATTCATTGGTGCCTTGCGGTGCAGTAAGACTCATGCAAGCCGATATACCGCACTTATCAACTACCATCTCTATGGACTGGAAAAAAAACAAATTAATATAATTTGCATATTTAGCTTGAACAAAACGGTGTATGTACAATGAGAATTCTTACAGTTTTCTTCCAGTAAACGTCTATTCTGTGGCTCTTGCCGTCTGTTAATTTAATTTGTTTTTGATCTAGTCTTACAGTTCCAGTTCCATAATCAACATACAATACAGCAAAGCCTTGTTGAAGTTCAAGAGACATGAAATCCTGAATTCGAAGCTTCGGATTGTAATTCATGGGGCCAAAATAAAATACAAGACCATTGTCCACGTGTGGCGTTATTTCCAATCCTATAATCATACACACGTAAATATAAATATGAAAAACGGAAATAGTATAAACGAAAATTCATTATAAAAATATAAAAGGTTGATTAAATATTGATAAAGGTCACGGAATTACAGAAGCAGTAATACAGAAATAGTAAGCATGTAAGAAATATGGAGCATGTTACTATAAGAGCTAGTGGCAAAAGTGAAGGATTTCAAAATCCAATTGATTTCGGTATTTTATCGTTTTTCATCACTTATGGCATCTACCTAAATGTGAGTCGTCGCAAACTTGACCAGGTGACGGCATTATAGCCCAGCCGTCTCCGTGAAAGCCAATACCCAATAGTTCACATCTCGGTCCTTCCAGACCAGGGGGACACTCGCATCGTCCTGCCAGAGGAGTACCACCGTTTAAACAGATAATAGGTTCCGCCACATGACAAATGCACAGTGGATCTGCGACCGCCCTAACACCGACAAACGAAGTGGTGTTAGTATAAACGACATATGGAACGGTACTGGTGTTCAAGTAATTGCGGCAGGAATCGTTGCAATGAAGCTTCTCGAATAGGCATTCATCAATGTTCATTAATAAGATATCCGCTTTCATCTCTCGTTCAATTTCTTTAGAATGTTGCGCTATAATTGTATTCAATTTCTCAGGAGCATAATATGGACTGCCATGTGCCGAAAATCGAATGTCCAGCAAGCTTCTATTATTATGATGAGGCGAATGAAGTACGGTGAACACGTCGACATTTTCGACCGATATATTTAGCATAGTTGCCAATTTCTCTTGGAATATATCCTTTTTACTGACACCAGATTCGTCAGGTTCTACAAATTGCTCCGCTGTTATCCCATAAAATCGTACGGAACCAGATCTATGAACAGCTTCTTCGGGAAGTTCCTTGACAGTAATGTTTACGTAAGCATTTACTTGATGCAATGGAATATCTTGACCTTCTTCGGTGACAATAAATTTCAATACAAAGGTATCGTTCGTCGTACCTGACAATAAAGTAATCATGCCAGTATTGGTATCAAGATGGAAACCGTCATGAGAAGAAGCCCACTTGAAAGATTTATCAGGTAAATCCCAATCATCTGGATCGTTAACATAAACCCGTCCGATTTCTGTGTCAGGAGCTTCTCCCTTGTAATTATAAACGAATATAGAACTTGAACCCTCGCGCATGGGATTGTCGTTCTCATCGCCTATGATCACAGTAAGCGTCGAGGTACCCGTCATTGGCGGCGCACCACTGTCCGTAATCGCTATCGGAATGTTGTAATTCTTCCGCCTTTCTCGATCAAACATTACACGCGAATATAAATTAGTATCACGTATGTCAAATTTAGATCTAATTTCATTGTCCGCAGTATCGTCGATTCTGAACTTGAATGGCGGACCATTATCATCGGAGTCGTAATCTCGTGCCTTCAACTCGGTTATCTTGCCATGTGGTTTATTTTCACCCCAAATAACTGGTTGCATATCGAGAAAAGGAGCGTTATCATTTATATCTCTAAGAGTAATATTAACAGTAACTAATTCTCGAAGGGCTGATGGGCTATCATCTTCATCTCTCGCCTTTACGGTAACCTGTTAAAATCATCAAAAGAAACAATAACAAAAGAAATTAAGTTTTTTAAGATATTGACTTGGTAAATATACGACTAATAACTCACAGTCCATGTTGAAAAACCATTCGGCGGATCACGATCTAATGGCTTCTTCAGTTTCATACAACCAAATTTGTCGATTCCTATCAAGGGTTGTTGCTCTTCTTTAGCGATAAAATAGACAATATGTTGATCGGCACTTCTGTCTTCGATATCAGGATCATAAGCCATCACAGTAGTGATGCAGCCTAAACAAACAGTAAAGTTTGTTTAAAAAATGATCAAACTTTGCAGGATTATAAAAAAATATTGCATTAATACTTTACCGTCTACCAATTTTTCTTCGTCTATTGTCGGATTTTTGTCGAAATCTTCGAAAACTGGTGGATTATCATTAACATTTTCGATAAAAATCTCGACTTGTGCTGTATCATTAAACAGACCATCGAACGCTTTCACAGTTAGATTGTACTTGGTGAGTTTTTCGTAATCGAGCGGCTTGTTCACGCGAATTTTTCCCGTTGTAGCTTCAATGTGAAAACTGTCATCAATGTTGCCTGATATAATGCTATATGTAATAACACTCGCCGTATCGGAATCGATGACTTTGACTTCAGTTACAGGCTCGTAAATGTTGGCATTTTCATAAATCGAATTATGGGTGTAGACTTTGCGGGTGAAGCGAGGTGGATTATCGTTCTTATCAGCTATTTCGATTTGGAACGTCTGTTGTCCCTTATTGTGTTCGCCAGTTTTAAACAAAGCACTTGGAGAATTATCCGTCGCTATTACTTTCACATTGTATATATGTTGTTTTTCTCTGTCGAATGTCATTAACGTTGTAATATTACCAGTTTGCGGGTCAATGGCAAAGAAATCCTTGAAGTTATCCAACTCGTAGGTGACCTTTGAAAATCGAGATATTGCATTAAGTGCAAAACATAATGAAACATTGACGTACAATCATATAATAAAACACATGCTTTCGTAATACAAAATGTAATTTATACAATTTTATAATATATACTTTCATCGCACAAATGTAATTTAAATTACATTATATATTATATAATTTTAATACCTGATTATTAGCAGAAGTTCCATCAGCATCAATGGCTCGCACTTGCATCACAAAAACTCCTGGTGGTTCGTTTTCTAAAACACTTCCTCCTTTAATATCACGAAAGACTGGAATGTTGTCATTTACATCTAAAATTTCGATATCGACTACCGTTTCGGCAGCTAACTGATAATTATTTTTTACTCTCACTATTAACGAGTACTGCGTATTCTTCTCATAATCAAGTTGCAAACCCAACTTGATGTCTGCTACATCTTTATTAGATTCTAATCTACAATTAGTACAAAATAAAATATGTAAAATAGAGTTGATTCGCAATTGTTAATACGTTACATTCCAAATTATATGGAGTGAAAAAGTAGTAAGTACAATTGGTATAGTACCTAAACGTATGTTCTTTATTAGTTTGTTCCGTTGTTCCAATTACCAGCTCAAAAGTTAGATACAAATTGTCTGAATTACTAGAATTATCGATGTTGGATACTGCTTGTAAACGGACAATGCTAGCATCATAATCTCTAAAATCTTCTTTAAGTTTGATCGGTTCTGCTGGTCTTGGTACAAAAGATGGCGCCTTCTTATGTGATTCCACAACTTGTATGTAAAAAGACGTGCTGCTGCTCAGTGGCTTTTCGGTACCAAGATCCGTGGCGCTAACTATCATACCGAATTTAGAACCTGGAATCCGCTGCAAAAATTCATAATGATCATAATGCAAGAATGTTTATGCGATTTGTTAAATAAAGAAAAGGGGGAAACTCAAGCTTGCTGAAAAAATGAGTTGATGCGCCGTGTTATTTTATTCAGGACATATTTTTAGTATAATACATACGAGAAATGAGGTAACAAATATTTCTTTCAATAATTCAACAGATAAGTTTATTTTAGGCATTACTTGCGTATAAAATATTTACTAAAAAAAAGAGTATGCAAAGTTCGCCAATAAATATAAAAATTCAAACAACGTTTTAATAAAATGACGATTAAACTATTAAATATATGTTACAAGTTCTAATTTCCAAGTAATATTGTAAAACGGAGTTTGCATTATAAGTACTATCATTTAACATCATTCCACCTTCATACTACTTACGTCTATAGTTTTGTTGAGAAATATGATACCGGATTCGCGTTCGATCCAAAAATATCCGATATCATCCGGTCTCTCAGCTGACAGACTATATCGGACGATAGAATTATTGCCATTGTCAATATCGGTGGCAGAAATTCGCATGACCTCACGACCCACCGGTAAATCTTGCGGCACAGATTCTGTATAATTCTGTGTAACAAGCCAAATTGTATTAGCGAAAACCGACAATAGCACAATACGTATGTACGAATTCTAAAATGCACTTAATGTGAAGTATTCCATGCAATTTTCGTACGAATTATGTTTACGGTACAATTATCATTTCTAAAAGACCACACGTTTATGCATGTTAATTTCTTCGTTTAATATAATAATAAATAATATAATACATTAATTTACATATTATTCCTTTAATAATAATAAATGAACAGAGAATGTAATTTCCATGCTGCGCTGATAATATTCATTGTAATTAATTATAAATCAATAAAAAAAATCTTTGCACTGAAAGAAACGATTAGCTGCTGCAACAAATTAAATGGTAAAATATAGCATAGCATTTTTAATTGGCAGCAGCCTAATTTTTAATAACTTATTCGCATAGAATTTCGATAGGCTAACGCAACCAAAAATTGGCTACTGCAACTAATTAAAAATGCTATGGCATATTTAGCCAATATTTTCTTTCTGCATCTGTATAATAACATAGGTGTATCGTGTACTCTTTTAAATTCTCATAGTCAAATTTAAAAATATTTTTCCAAGTGCATAAAAAGACTTTCGATATACAAAATAAAAATTAAAACGACAATTTGTTTCATGAAATATGCAAACATATACATAAAAAGAAGCGAGGAAATAAAACTTGGAACACTTTTATTTTTTCATTTACATATCGACATTCACATCACGTATTCAAAACCAACCTTCCACCTGTATCCACGAAAGACCTGGGATTGAAATGAAACAAAAAAAAATTCAAGCAATAGTTGTTAGTAGCGATAGTAGTTGTAGTTACAAAAAATGTTAGTTAAAAAAATTAATTCATTCACGCGATATAAACGTACGGAAATCCATATCTATAATATCTCACAAGTTATTCATATATTTTTAAAATAATTCATCATTTCTATAAATAAAAATGTCTTACATTTCAAAATTTATGAATATTTTAATAGCGTATGAATTATACATGTAAAATTATCTATTTACTACGAATTTATTCTTATTAATTAAAAAATTAGTTTTTAAAAAAGATTTTGAAGAAATCAATTCTTCTCATTTTAATAATAAGTCATTTTTATCAAAAATAAATTTCGTATAAAAAGAATTTATTTTATATTTTTTTATTTATTCATTAAAAAATCAACTCTTTATCATAATTAACATACTATTATCTTATAAATATCATGAAAAAAAAAAGATTTCATGGTTCTTCTTCCATTTCTTTAGTAGAATCTGGCTTAAGTCTATTACATACGTATAATTGCAACGTATGCATAATGTAAACGTTTATTCGTACCACATGCACTCAGATTCGTATTTGCAGATGGGAACTACAAGAAAGTTGATAATGAGTTAGTAACTTAGGTAGTTAGCAACGTACCGCTTTGTCAAATTCAGGATAATTATCATTCACGTCTTCGATAGTGACTTTGAATGTACAATGGTCATCTAGCTGCGGCCTTCCATTGTCAGTCGCGAGTACCGTGAGATAAACTTCTTTTTCTCTGGCGGGTTCATCTCTGTCGAGTATCTGGGTCGTAGTGATGAGACCCGTTTTATTGTTGATTGCGAATTTTAACCTATCCTTAGGATCCTTAGCAAAGCTATACGTAATGGTACCTGAAAATGTGAGATCAAATAAATGGATAATTAATAATAGAAATTTGAATCCTTTTTATGAAAATTTTCAAATAAATTAATTATATGAAAACTGAATATTTAAGTAAAATATTATTCGAACTTTCCGAAATCTTGGAAAAAATCTCGGAAGTTTTGAATGTCTTGAAAAAAATTTCGATTTATTCTGTTCGTGATTTGTTGGCATGAAAGAAAAAAAATTACATATATCTGCTTTATCAGTTAATAATGCGGCGAGATATTTCCATTTTTCTGACACATATATTTCTCGTTCTTATACTGGAGGAGGTAGCATCTCGTGTAAATCCATAAAAATAATAAATGAAAAGTGTATCAGCAACACGGTATACAATTAAAAAATTAAAAACAGACTCAACACAGAATGTGTCTTGTAATTGTTCCCCATTTATTTCGATTCGAAGTCCTGAAACTTTGAAGATCATAGAACTGGCAAGCATATAAATTTTATTTATTATGCACATAATTTAATACGACATTTTATGCATGATATATGTGACATATGTGATGATGTCGCACTATTATACAATACCTCCTTCCTCCGGTGGATCCCTATCTTCGGCGTGTACCTGGATCACCGTTGTGTCAGGTGGTTGTTCCTCCTTCACCACTGGCGCGTAACTTGCACAATTGGAGAACACCGGCTTGTGGTTGTGATTTTCATCGAGCTGAAAGCGCAAGAGAAACGGACAGCTATTAACGCGAGTGTTACTTGGCGTGGAGCACCCTCGAAAGATGTCCGGGGGATTAATCGGTAAACTTGGCGGGGCGCGATGCAGATGGGAAAGACTTTAGAGAACAATTACTCGATAAATCAAAGCGTTCCTCATAAACCGAGCGCCATTAATCATGGCGTATATCCCGGCGGTCTATTATATCGCGTTTCCTCATAAAGATCCAATACAGTCTGAAAAAGAAGAGAGGGAAGATAGAAACACAAAGTGAAAAAGGGAGGAAAAGGAAAAAAAACGGAGCACCGTACTTAAACGCTTCATAATAATTCACATTGATGTTGACGACCTACGATTAGAATAGACATGTGGCAGGGCTAACATAAATCCCAGCTTTGTACAACGTTACGCGATCTATTGCGATTCGATAAGTCATATCCTCTAAAAATTATTAGTCGCAATTGTTTACCTCGTGCATTGTGTTACCATTTCATCATGATTAGGATCGATCCGATGTTTAACATACGTAATACACGATTGACATGGCGTTTAACTTTTGAACTATAGAGGAAGAGGAAGACAGAAGAAAAGAGAACTCTCTAAATCTGAATCAGTGGATAATCACTGATATCAGTGCCAAGTATGCCATTGGTAATCAGTGAATTAAATGTGAGATCCTTAATCTAGCTAATCTTTATTAATCTAACTAACTTGTTTTAGTGCTTAAATTCAATAAAATAATTCAATAAATATGGTATTGGAAAATTGAAATTAACATACAACTATCAATATTTTATTTTTAGTACATATACAATGCTCAATTTTTTCGTTCTTCCTTTTTTAGTTGAACTTCATTGATCACCAGTATCAAGATATGCCGTTGGATAATTAGTGACTATCCACTGATTCAAAATTTAGAGAGAAAGAATGTGTATCATGAATAATAACTGATAACGATATATAAAAAATTCATAAATTAAAAAATTAATTTTGCAAATAGTAATATATCTGACGTCGAATTTTTCATCAATCCTGTCAAAACGAGGGATAACATTCATAATAATGCTAAATATCTCCGCTTTCCTTGGACGCGATCACATTAGACTGTTATCTTCAATGTAATTAAATGGTCGTGACATTAATATTCATTACTATTTTCTGTCCTGCAGGGGATAACAATATTCCTGAATAAACAACATTTGGTAAGAAACATAATCCACGTATATTCACCGTGTTTGCTCGCACGGTGAAGCACGCCTTCTAGCAAACCTCTCAGACCGCTTAGAATTTCGCACAGCACTTTACCGACGTCATGCGTTACTCCCGATATAGCGCCGGTATTCGCTCTCGTATTTTCCTCCAACCTCATTAACGATAAACAAGTTAGCCGCGTTTTAGCATATTAACCCCGTTACATTATATGTACAGCTGATTCCTGCAGACTTGTTCGAAAGAAAATTTCCATCAATAAAATCCGGGGCATTTGTTGAAATCTTGGAAAAAAAACCATGAGGATTCTGATTTTCTGGGCGTTTTTCATTAAAATTCAGATGCAAAATAGTGTCTTTAGACGCAAATTTAAAATAAACTTGAATAGTCGTGTATCCTCTCCTTATACATATAGAATACATAGTAAAAATGGAAGCTTTAAAAAGTTTTTTGTGTAAAAAGTAAATATTTCATATTTCTAATTTTTTATTGTAATAGATAGTATAAAGTTTTTATCGATATAATTCATTTACCGTAAACGTAATAAATAATACTTGATAAATTAAATTTTCAATAGGTGCGATATGTATACTGGAGTTACCCTAACGATGCATACAAGCAGCGAGATACACTCGACTGCTAATTTAATATTGAAAGCGAGAAAGCTTTCGTGTGATGCAAATTGCTCGTGATGTTTTTGCGCAATGTTTAATATTCGCAAAAGACCAAGTTTCACTGCGACTATCATCTCTGATTTGCAATGGATGAAATGGAATTGAAGAGTAAGGTAAAAGCAATAAAATTTCGTAAAGAGCTGAGTAATAAATCTTACTTTGTTAATATAATATGTATAAAAAATTACATATAGTTATTATATATTATCTCTCATGTATCTTGAAAAAGATACAACGATAGTAATCTTTTCTCGTTATTCTTTAAATTCTCTCGATTTTTTCCTTGGGAAAAATTTAATTAAAAGTAAGTTAATAAGATATCTTACATTAAAAATTGAAAGAGTGTGACCAATTGAGTTGTAAAACATGTAATTTCATTTTAATTTGAATGTAAATAAATAAAAATAAATACATAATGCAAAGATATATTTTATGTATATGTATAAATTATTAAAATATCTGTTTCCATTTTAACAGCATAAAAACAATTAGAATTTCATTCTAATTATTTTTAATAACATTGATAGTATTTATACAATATAAAATAATATTTAATTAATTAAAAATCACAGAAATCTATTGCCTTATTCAACTTATTTCCTTCGCAGTTGCAATTGAATTTAATTATTAAAATACTAAAGTTTAAGTAGTTACCTCTGCCATATGGAGTTTAGGTTATATCTAAATTGTAGGAAACTTCTCTGCTGTATCTATTCATGAGATTAGATTCCAAACAAGGTTCAGTTACGAGTTTGATCAATCTAGAATGAACTATTTGATTAAATACGTCTTTTCATTATAGAAAAGTTAAGTACATTTCAATTCTGGCAGCTATACATGATTTTATATTTAATAGATTCGAACGATTTATCCGCGTAATTCGATTATTGAAAATCATTAATTGTTGAATTTTTTATTGATACATGAAGAGATTCACAGCTAATATGATCAATATTTGGTATAAGTAAAATTTAAATAAAAGTCGATATTTATTTAATCAATTATATTATAATCAATATATAATATATATAATATATCGATATTTTTAAGCAAGTATTAATACTGAATAATGATATTATATTTTGAATATTATTTCAGATAGAAATTCGCGTCTATCGATATTTCATTGGCTTGAATATCTTTTAAGTTTATACTCTCTTAAGAATGAATGAATTTTAATTTCATTTAATTACAAATCCAAGATTATGTGGGAATAATTAATCATCTGATGAAAATACAATATTTTAAATTCATTCTATCTCATGACTTTTTGCACGTTCCGTACATATCCAACGAGTAGCAATGAATTCAGACTCGTCGATATCACGTTAAGACGACTGCAGCCGTGGTAAATACATAGTTAAATTATTCGACAGATAGGAGAGAAAGAAAGAAACAAATCCATTATCCAACTTACTGGAAAGGTAATGTACGGGGATCTGGTTGGATCATTCCCGGGATCTTGGTTAGTAAAGAAATTGGGTTCGATGTTCAAGATAAAAGAAAAGGAGTGTAAATGGCGGTGGAAAGGAACGAAAAATCGAATCAAGAACGAATCGAGAAGCACTTACCGATAATTTACCCTCGCCCAGATACTGCGATCTCTCGTCCAGGTGTCTCGAGTGCCTCAATCTCGTTGCAGACGCTGTAACATAAAGAAGAAACGGAAGATGATGATATCGCCCATTTGAGATATTGTGGATATTGCATTCGATAAAGGAAAATCGATCAAAGGCCTCGTTCAAATTTAGAAATAATGCGTGATCTTCCTTTTTGAAAGCAAGAATTTAACAACGAAATAAAGCAGGAGTAAACTTTTTTTTTACCCTAATATTCGTATAACATAACGCGATAATAATTTTCTCTCATAATTTATATATATAATAATAATCTGTAATACATGATACTGATAATACAAATGAGATAATTGTGATATACGTAAACATATTATTATTGTTTTTATGTAGATCTCATCGATTATAATATACGCTTAATGCTTTAGCAACGTCACGTCGACGAAAATAGCAGGCGCTCTGATAAAAATTTATTTAATAATATATAGAAATATAAATCAAATGTTGAATTTATAATGTCTAAGATGAAATTGCTCTCTCTTGTTCAATAGCATAATCCTCTTAAAAATTATTTCAGCTCGCATTTATTCGTCCTATTGTATCTATATTTTACCTGTACATGAATTTTCTCGGCAGTGCTCGTTTACATTTTACGCATAATAATTTAAAATATCGAGTATTTCCTCGAAATTTCACAATCAGAAGAATTTTCATGTATGCGTATAAAATCATATAACGGAAGCGAAATAGTAAAAAAAATTTGTAACTTGCGATGAAATAATCTTAACTTAAAATTTCCAAGTGCTAAATGCTAACTGAATTAAAAATTATACATATCTCGGGGCGGATCTTAACTGCAGAGATCTTTATGCATCATTCACAATAACGTCTACTCCACCAACATCGAAGAATGAGAAATGCAACTTGGAACGCTACCTTAGAAACTATTCATAAGTTGCGCAAAGTAGGCATTGCTAATGCGGCATTACTAATGTGGCATTAGCTGAGTCTTTAAGTTAATGTACAAAGAGAAGCAAAAGGCGCGTAGAAGAAAGTACAGTTCCAAGTATGCAAAATTATTCACAAAGACTGCTGTTGTTATTAATGTAATAAACAACTGTCGCAAGTTGAGAAAAAGATACTCGTCTGTAATTTTAAGATTGTTATTAATGTAATAAAACATACAATAATCCGATTTCATTATAAAAAAAAAAAAAGAGAAATATAGGTGTGTAAAAGAACAAGAAAAGAAGCGGTACAAAATGCTTCATTTCATTGAACACTCGCTGTCCGTATTTTTGAGTACCAAAAATAATCCCTGTCACTCTTTTGTTAATGCTTTCCAACCGCAATACGTGCTAGCGATGAAGCGCTGTCATTCCTACAGCTTGCGTGGCTCAACCACAATGCGGTTTAAACTGTCCCGAATTTTAAGTAAATTTGGTCCGCCGTAAAAGCGATATCATCGGAATTGCATAAAATTCAACCGGGCTCACAAACGCTTACACCCGGAAGCCGTCATGTTATGTAATGTAGTGAAATACAAAATAAATAACGGAACAGAACGGATGGAAGCCAAGCCAGACATCTTAGGCCATAAATTGCTTGCATGAATTTTTCTGACATTGTATTTGAGTTTCTTTTTTATCTTCGTGCATTTTATAAAGGTTGATTGGTAAAACTGGTGTTTAACAGTCTAATTGATCTGATATTAATGATTATCCATAGCAGCGAGATTAATTATGTTTCTCTGGGAAACTTGATAAACGATTGTCGCTCAAGTACAACGTATAACAAGCATAATTATGCACATATAACTCGTTGATTGAGGAATCCCCTGTGAAACTCCCGATAATTGAAATGGGAATCAACCTTTCTTCCTCCCCTATCGTTCCATCTCTGTATCAAAATCATTCGGAACAATTGTCGATGTCACTTCAATTTATTATCACTCGTATTCAATCGAGCATACACTCCACTTGTAACCACGAACTGATCCGTCCTCGACTCCTCTCAAACTAACACTTCGTCCAAATTAACACTTGGTCCATTATCTTGTTCCGCTCGAGTTGAGAGCAACATCTGTATAGTATGAGGAAGCTATTTGTATTTCCGTATTAGCTATCGCGTTAAGCATCGTTTCGCTAGTTCGCGCTGGCGTTCGTTTCTTTTAAATATTTTCAAGAGAAGAAAGCGCATCTCTTAGTTCTTTCGCGCCAAAGATCCATTAAATACTTTCCTCGATATTGCATTCGCTTGCGAAGTTCCCGCATATTAGCGGGAAATTTCTTTATCAAGTTTCCCATATTATTCCGTTGTGTTTTACCACGTTATATTTTATCACGCTTCTCAATGAAAATCGGGGCTAGCGGTAGATTGACTGTATATATATATATGTTGCAGAGCGAAAAATGTCGATGCAATACCGCGATTATTTACTCCATCGAGAGGATTAATCCAGCACAACTACTTGGGATAAAACAACTCATAACGCCGGAAATAGACGCAAATAAATGGAACGATATGCACTCAAGAAACACTAGTATATTTACTTTTACGAGACCGTACTTTAACGTTACGCTCAAATGTCAGAGATATTACAGCAGCATTGTTTAGCAAAGATTATAATTATTCATTTACGTTATCAACAATTTAACGGTGACTGACTCATGTCAGTCTTTCTATCTGGACTGTACATCAATTTAATTTTTTGATCTGCATAATAATTTGGAATATATATGATATTCAAATACAGAAAGATAGCATATTCTGCTGCTTCTTAATATTTTACGTGTCCTGAATATTTGATAAGTTTATCTAATATATGTAATTATAATCTTCCATATTATTATGTAATTGTACTTTCTCAAAAAGATTATGCTACACACACACACACACACACACACACACACACACACACACACACACACACACACACACACTCACTCACTCACTCACTCACTCACTCACTCACTCACTCACTCACTCACTCATATACTCGCATCGTTAGGAGGAATTTGTGTCAGTCATACCATAGTATTCCATTTTGTATCCGAAGAGACTCAATAACTTTTATGTCACAAAACTAAAAACCAGATACGTTCTATAGTGGATTATGTACGGAATCCACCGTTTTCTATATCAAAACCATTTATCGAAACTATCGATGAGTGAGATTTATTGAATTTAACCGCACTGCTTTTTCTCCTGTCCTGCTTTTTTTTTTCAAGAGGTGGCAACGTGCAACACTCTAATTCACAGCGAAAAACTCTCGATTTGTATCTGCATGGTATCTGCTATATATATTATCTAACTCGTCAACTTACGGATTTTTCTTTCTATTTATTCATATTTACTTTCTTTTACGTCAAGTAAATGAAAAGATCATCACTCGTACTTTAATAATCGCTCTTCGACGGATGATCGATCGTGCCCTGCGCCGCGTCAGCTGAAAATTACTGAGAACATCATCTAGTTTATTTAGTGCTTGCGAATTTGTGAAACTTGATAGCCGCCGCGCCAGTGGAGAACTCGGAATGGTTAATTTGTTAGAAAGACGATTAACAAATTCCTCAAAGGTCTATTTGCTCGATATAATTGTAGAAATCACCGTAGTATCCGTAATAATTTTCATCGTAATAATTTTCATTTCATCTCAAATTGCCGCAAATGGCATAATAACTAGGTCGAACTACGGCAGTGTGAATAGTTAAACAATAAATTGATAAAAGTGTAGCTGGTTTCAATTGACGCTTATCAGTCGGCACACTCCGCGGTAAATTTTTTCATAAGTCACTCGCACCAACAACGATATTCGATGTGGATTACAGAAATTATATTATTAATCCTCATTTTACTAAGTGCACACTGGAACCAGTTGGCCGACAATACAATGTGTATTTGCGCCGCTTAAGCAGCCTGCCACGCCTGTTATTTCGTTAATACCCAAATCGTGTTACGGCGAAAAATCGTCTAAATGTAATATATGAACGTAATATAATTTTACAATTTTACATATCAGCGTAGCGCGCACGTTTATCTCTGCGAGAACACTCCGCGATAAAATGTGCTATTAACTTATCCAATTGGATTAAAACATTTTTCGAATTTATCGCCTTTCTTTATACTTATTGTACGAAATCCTATCGCACTGCATAATTCTGCCAATTTTGCTCCTCATATGTATATAGAGTACGTCATCGAAGAATCACGGATGGGAGGACAAAGATAGAAATTTATGAAAATGCGGACTTTTTCGTGAGTGTGGATTGGCCGATGGCGACGACAACGGGGGATGCCATTTCCGGTATTATCGTCGGTGCAGCGTTATCAGCAACGTCATCGGAAAAGCGTCAACTGTAAAAGGAATCGCATCGCGCGCGGGCGTTTCGCATTTTTCATATTTCGCCCAGTTGTCGCGTGGCACGATATTTCCTGAAGCGACCGATACGCATCTCTGAAACAATCGCCAGGGACGCTAAAAATGAAATTTATGATAGTATCAAATGCTCATTATAAAATGAAGCTAATTATATTCTCACTTTTCAGCATAATTGCGCGCCGTTTGTTATGGACGCGAGAGGGAGTCCGACTCCCTGATGAATTTTATAAAAAATAGTAAAAATTACTTCATCGCGTAAAGCGCGATTGCACCGCGAAAAAAAGAATTCCCATGTACATCACAACGTCTATTTAAGTCTATTATAATAGCGGGAGCATAGAATCTTGCATAAAGCATAACACATAAAATATATGAATATAAAAAAATGAATCAACCAAAATTCTTCCTTTTTTTCCATGAAATAAAAAATTCTGATTGATTGATTATCTTGTGCCTTATGCATGAATTTATGCTTCTATACCCTAAAATTCCTATGTTATCAATTTAAGTTACTTAATTATTTGCCATGCAGTAGAATTACATAATTATCATCATCAATTATGTGCAAGGATTACAACTGTCAAAAATAGCCAGATTCAAAAAAAATATCGAGAAATACTTCAACTTAAAAAAATATCGAGAAACAATTCTTTAATTTTAGAAAGTATTATGGCGGGATTATTGTTAAAT